TTTTGCAAAGATGGTTTCTTCTTAAATTATCAACATAAGCTAAAATTAGTACGAAAAATATGATTAAAATGTAGAATATACTTGAAATCGGGTTGTTCCGTTATCAGGGGTTATGATCCATATTATGATCTGCCAAAGCGATTTAAGGTATCTTGAATGTTTAGGTAGAATTTCTATTTTGCGTTCTATATAGTCGGTATTTGACTGATTGCAGTCCCAATGTATTTTGCATTTTGTGTTTATTGTCATATGAAAGAAGCAGGTCCACTTTTTGAAATTAACCCAATAACGTTTCTTCTGTCATTTTTGTTTGTTTAAATGTGTTCGCATCTTCCAGCTGAAGCACGATGTAGGTCCTGGAGTAGAAAGCATTTAACATCGTATTGCGCTCTCATTTCATTTTTATATTATTCATTATTCATTCAATAAAAAAATGTACACTTCAATATAGAAAAAAGAAAAAGAATCTTCAACTGGTTCGCTGATTTTTTTGCGGCAAATTTTTAAAGGTGATTACTAAGTTTCTCGGTAGAATGTACTATTATTTTGAAATTCGATTCCATTGAAAAATTGTCGATTTTTCCCGATTCTAGAATTGTCGTAAAAAGCGACAACGGATAAAATTGTTATTTATAGATTTTATGTATTTTTTGGGTATTCGAATAAATACATAAATTCTATAAATAACAGTTTTATCCGTTGTGGCTTTATATTACCCAAAAAAAACCTACACATCATATTAGAATTCAAAAAAAAAAAAAAAAAAAAAACACTACAAATGTACATTCGAAAATAGTAAGTCAAAATGGAAAAAAATATGCAATATAAAACATTACTATTGTACATTTTAAAAGTCAAAATGAAAATGTTCAAATTTCACATTTTTACGCGATTTTTTTTGGATTTTATTCTTTTCTGTCAAGAGGCAATTCCGAATTTGTCTAAATCGTTAAAATCAGACCTGCGGTCTTTATGTTATAAGAGTAGTAACTAACACAACTTTCTTTTACATATAGAGAGATAGATTTAAAAGTAGGCGCGTTCCTCAGCCCCTAAATAAGTACTTAGGGTTGGATGGAAAGCCAACAGCATCTCGTGTAATAATCCTCAAACCGATATCTTCACTATTTTGGCAAATATAAAGATTTCAGATAAATCGAAATAGTGGGCATAAAAGGAGGCGTGGTCAATATTTTTTTCTTCAAAAACCTAACTCGGGGTATGACGAACGTTTGTACAAAAAATTATGCAAATCGGTCCAGCCGTTTTCAACTGATTCCGTTACCAACAAACAACAATTGATATTTATATATATAGATAGATTACACTAATAATAATATTATAAAATATCAAAAGAAAATAAAAATTGTGTATTTTGGCGATCGCACAAATATGTGAAAAAATGGTGAAGTTGAGAAAATGCGTCAAGAAATTGTAAATATGTGTCTTTTCGAGAATCTTTAACAATCTATTTATAAATCGAGTTTACCTCGCTACATCGGAGACGTACGGGAGCTACAATTATTAAAACAAATCCTGTGTCACAGGTTGATTAACGGTTGGTTAGGTAATTGCAGATTAGCCGCTGAAGAAGCTTGTTGCGCTTTTCAAGTCAAGATATACACTAAATTGTTTACTAGAGTTGGATGATTGACAACAAACAACAGTCAATTATTTGTTACGACATTTAAAAAGGTCACTAGAGGTGGTCATAAAGGTGATCATTATCCGAGAATGATCCCTCGAAAAATAATAAAACTGTAAAAAAATAAAAATCTTGCTTCTTGACAAAAACATGACGAGAAATCATTATTATGCGAACGCATTACAAGTGGAGAGAGATAAAGTAGTTATAAGTGCGTTTGTATGATTTAAAAGAAATGCCAAAAGGATTTTAGTTAAATCCAACTCTTCGGTATATATTCTATTGAGCTTAAAATCTCGTCCCTTGGGTAAAAAAATAATTCCTAGAATGTCCATAGACAAAAACCAATGGGACTGATGAGGATTGGTGGCTCACTCCGAAACCATAGTATTCCCTGTCTTACCCCCTAGTAAATATATTAGCATCTTTCTCCACTAATAACAAACAAACTTTATTTTTATAAAAACAACAATTATGGGATTAAACCTCACTTTTTTGCAACAACAATAAAATATAATTATGGTTCTAATTCCATATTGAGTGAATTGCACATTTCTTGCTTTTGACTATTTCGTGCAGGAATAAGTTCATAAAATTCAAATAGAGAATTGGCGGGTTTTAGCTTTTTTAAATCGCTGAAGAAGATTTCCATGGAAATAATTTCAATATAATCTAAAAGATGATGCACCAGTGCAAGGGGCCGGGTATGTTGAGCTTCCTGGTTAATAACACCAATAAGCCAACAGTCGATTAACTGTTGTCTTCGTAGAAGAACGATCGTTTAATCAGAAGAAGCTGAATCGTTTGTCACAAGAAAAAAATTGTTTTAATAAATATAGCAGACTGCCAGAGTCTTGTAATTGAAACAAGTGTTTTTTAATAACCTTAACAACCAGTACCTTATAAGCAACAAGTAAGTATCGCCTGTATACTTGAGTGTTTTTTAAAAACCTTAACAATCAGTGCCTTATAAGCAACACGTAAGTATCGCCTGTATACTTGTGTTGTCTAATATATATTGTAGTTCGTCCTTGTGCAACATATACTTTCGGTTCTAGAGCTAATCTTTAGATTTAGAGCTCATACAAGTCCATACGCCTGTATCGGCGTATCTTGACGCTCGGAAAATAAACATACAGAAAAAGTTGTCTATATAGAAAAGTTTTCGATAACACCTTTTCTTTATAAAAAAAAGTTGCCGATAACACCTTTTCTTTATAAAAAAAAGTTGCCGATAACACCTTTCCTTTATAGAAAAGTTGCCGATAACAACATTTCTTTATAGATAAGTTGCCGATTAATATTTTGTCTTTGTAGAAAAGTTGTCGATTACAACTTTTCTTTATAGAAAAGTTGTCGATAGTAACCTTACAGAAAAGTTGTTGATAACAAGTTTTAGATAACAACTATTTTGTACCAAAAACACATCGTTAACCACTTTTCATCCATATATGCATTTTGGACCTTAAATCCTAAAATTAGTCAGACACAAATAATCATGTTTTTTTTTTTTCAATATTTTCTGAGTCTGGCCAAGAAGCCATTAACTGCTACTCATCTGCATATATCAGTCCGATTATTTGGGTAGGGTGAATATTTTACCCCCAGTATTTTACCCCTTGGTAACAAAACTGTCCTTTGCTCAGATTTCCTTTTACGGGGCTTGCTCTTCTTCTTCGTATGCAACAATCCTTTCGATGTGCCACAACCGAAATTATGCATTCGTTTTTTTTTCTTGACATTTGGCGGCAACAATGTGTTTGGCAAGAAGTTTTGTTGGAAAAGTCTGCCATAAGCATTTTCTTCACTCCCAGGAAACTTTTTCTTCCTCGTCCTTATTAGTTATGCAAAAGAGAAAGGGAAAGTTTTTAAATTCTGTAATTAACCCATTAATCTTTTTAGAAGACATTAAGGATTAAAAACGTCTTACATACAAATCAATGCAATGGATGTAATGGGAGATAATTTAAAAAACGTTTGTTTTTTTTTTGTCTCTCGCATAATGAGTTTCTTATTGATTACATTTCAATATTGACACATTTTTGACAGATTGAAACATATAATCTGCATAAATCATGTATCGTATTTGTAACGTAGTAAAATGATATTTTTAGTGGTAAATTCTTGAATAAAGTTGTTATCAATATTTTTTTTTCATTCGAATAAGTGTTTATTGACAATTTCTATCACAAACTCTATCTAACCGTATTATTAACACACACACGCCCTTCAAATAATAATACTACTCCATACACGTATAAATTACAGTCCATAACAGACAAGGACTAGTTCACGAAAAACTACGTTACATTGGACAATTTTGTATCTAGTCCAGAGCTGTTGCAATGGGACACGTAGTCCAGAATTTATTAATTTGCAGGATACAGACAATTGAATTATACAAATGGCACACAACCATGTCTACGATATGGTTCGGTGTCATCGTGGACGTACTGCTTTTTGGGAACACAATGCAAAAGGTCCGGCGATTAGACCGTTGGCAGTGGCACCCACGAATCACACTGGGGAATTTTGGGTGCCAATGTCGATCAAATACATAGCACATGATTGAGTAGACAAAGACAGTGTGTCAAAAAAAACAATTTATACAATTCATCTAGTTCTACGCTCTAACACATACCATTTGTTGTGGGTTAGATCATGTATTCTATTATGAGTACTATTAATAATGGTGTTTCACAGGATTTGCAAAATCCTCCCTTGCTTCGATCCCATTTAACTTATTTGACAACGCTTAATTGTATGGATATGACGCTTGAAATATATTATCAGTGCATGTCTTGCATATTTTTCAAATGTAAACAAAAATTTCACAAAAAAACACCAAATCACAGCAATTTGAGAATAGCGCTGCGCAGATTGAAGAAAACAATGCAAATAATTGATTATCCAAGAACTAAAAAATTCCATGAATTGGCAGAAAATTTAAATCACTTTCAAACTTTCAAATTTAAAATGCATTAACTACATATGTAGTTTTATAGAGACATTTCTTAGGTTAATATGTGTATGTGTACCACATTTTCTAATGACTAATTTTTCATGAATTCTACTTAAATTATAAATGTATTAAAATTTGCCAACCTGACACTGTGGGTTTAAAAATATCAATTGTACAAATGACAAAAAATTAATTAATAAAAAAGTTATTTTCTACCGGCTACATTAAAATATTTTTGCCAACGCAAAGCCTAAGCAATTTTATATTGAACATGAGTGATGGAAATTAAAACGAATGAACTGATCCTATTTTTTATTAAAGTTTTTAAAAATTAAACTTTTGTAAATGATTTATATTATGTATAAAATTAATATATTATTTTTGTTTTTGTAGATTTTGTGATTCACCATCTGAAGAATTGGATTCCAGAACTCCTAAGGGGAGAGGAAAACGAGGCCGAACTGTAACTACTCCTGATTTAAGCAATTTTACTGAAACTCGAAGTTCGGTAAGTCCATTTTTTACATTCTGTTTTCTTATTATTCAAACATTTGTGCTAGAGCTCAACAGAATATCCCAAATTCTTTTCTCTGGGACCTTTTTTCCTTTAATGGTTTAAAGAAAATTTCGATTTGCTTTTAGGAAAATGCTAATTTATTACATCGATTGAAGGAAATAATACGGGGCAAATTTTTATAAAGGAAAAATTCAAGAGGATATCCCAAAGTTAATACTGAATTGAAGGAAATAATATCCAGGCAAAATTGTATAAAAGGAAAATTCAAAAATATTTAAGAAAGGGGGAGATCGACCATATAATATCCCACAGACTAATGTTTTCACTTAGGACTTACTGGCAAGCAAGTTATGAAATATAAAGAGAAATCATGTTTAATAAATTATAAGTTTGAAAAAATTATGATGAAAATGTAAAATTGTGTTAGGAAACTGCTTCCAGCTGACGTCTATTACTTATGTAATTTAACAACTTGTCGGTTTTGAAGTAACAAATTGACGGTTTGGAGTTTCTTAATAGAAATAAACACTTACTTTTTGTTTTAATAAACATTTTGTTGGCGCCATTTCCCAACTTTACTAAGGCTGACTACCACGGATGCACAATCTCTGTTGTTGATAAGCAACTAATACTTCTTACCCATAATGCACCAACGTAAACTTCATTTCTCTAATGTATTGGTAATTGATCTTTTTCCAATCGTTAGTAATATTTGCTCCTTATATCATTTGTTCAACAGAATGATCTGGCTTCAATAATTATTCGCACCTTCTCCACGAGTAATGATCCAATTATCTTTATTTTACTTTGGTTCCACATGCTCAAATATGCTATTTGAAAGGAAAGACTTTTCTTATTTAATATTAAAATTTATTTATTTGTGTTTCAATAAACATTTCTTGTTGGTTGCAAAAATGGAAAGACAAATTTACAATTAAGTTCTTCTATGCATACAGTACCTTTTTTGCACTGTTTCTTCTTGTTAATACAATACTGATTTTTTAATCTCAAATTCTATTTCTAGCAAACAAAGGGGGAAGAATTACAAGGAACAGTTTTTATGTGGGGTATGTTCGGTTACAGTAATGCTGCTGTAGCGTTTCTCACATCAACATATTCCTCTCTTGGGACTTCGTTCCAACATTAAATTTAAATGCAATTAATTTTTAACATTATAAATAAAGTTATATAAATTGATGTATAAACTTATTACGACGCAGAAAACAGCCAAATGGAGAAGTGATGCCTCAATTTTTCGTTTTGTGGCACATGCGCTTTTGAGCCAAAATTGGGGAAGACTTCCATTTATACGACACAAGATACTATTAAATTCTTTCATCAAGTTCATCTTCACCAGATAAGGGCACTATAGTCATGGCTATTGCGGGATTCAATATCAAATATAAAAAGTAAATCTTCTCCAAGAATTGGGGAAGTTAGACCAGAAGTTGTCTTTCCAGGAGTTATTGTTGTCGTTGCATGTGCGTAGCGTCTTTATTGAGCAATAACTAATTTCATACAATTTATATAATTGGAAAGTTGTGCCCAATCTCAATATTTCTGCATTACATTTTTAATCATCCTTCAAAAATTTTAATTAATTCATCTTATCCATTACTCTCTCGATAAAAACAAAATTTCCTACAGCGGCAGCACTCATTTAACCGCAAACCATAACAGAGCCTGCTCTATGCGTTGCAGTTGGAATAGTGTGGTTTGGGCCAAGGCCTTATTCGCCCTACGCCATATCTTACTTGGTCCATCCGACCCAATCATGTTAAATTTGCCTTCATCGGCAAATATAACAGACTTCTAAAATTCAAATTTTTCGGTTTGTTGGAACAGCAGATCGATTAATAATAAGTATTTGGCTATTTTCCGTTGAGACTTTCTGAGTTCTCCGTGATGAACAAATAATTTTCTTTCGGCAATAGTTGCATGGCTTCCCATGTTTTAAATTCGTTAAAATTACTCTCTCAATTACCAAACTTGTGCGTGAAGTTTAAGAAAATAATACAATATTGTGCTTGCTATTTCATGACAAAGCCAACTGTTAAACGTTATAAAATTGTTAGTGTTGTAGAGTGGATACTTTTCACAGAGGGGTAAACTTGATGTTCTTTAACGATTATTATCTTTTTATTTTTAATTAACACGAATATTGTTATTTTTATTTCATTAATTTTAAGTTAAGACGTTAATTTTAAAATATATAAAAGGCTGACATTGAATTAATTAATTAACAATCAATAAATGCATTTTTAATATGAGCAAGTAAAGAAACATTAATACTCTCCACCATTGGATAAAGAAAACATTTTTATATTAAAATATCTGAATTGAAACGTGTTCCACTTTAAACTGCAAATACCAGTAATACCGTTTGTAAAATGCTGTTAAACTTTTCAAAAAACCATATAGTGTGTGAGGCCGTTATTTGGGGGCCATACCAAAACGGGAACCTCTATAGGCAATTTTATGCTTCAAGGAATGCCTTCGACTAAATCTTCTTAAATGCTAAATTTGAAACAATGTGGCAAAAATCATCAAATATTGGTGGGCATCGTTATATGTGCGCGGGGCTATACAAAAACGTGGACCTATACATACATTGTTTCGCCACCGGAGCTAAAACCTATTAAGAACTATAAATATCCCGAATATCTGCCCAATTTTGTGGGCTGTATCGTGATTTCAACAGATAGACGGACATCGTTAAATCGGCTTAGAAATGTATGCTGATCATGAATATAAATTAAGTCTTATATATTTATTTATTTATTTATTTATTTAAAAAAAAATATTTTTATTTATTTATCGACATCAATAACCAACTTAAAACTACTGACAACATACTTAAAGTTAATCTAATTTTGTACCTGCGTTTGGTACGTTGCTGGGTGTCGGGTATCCGCAAATGTAGCGACGCCAGCGTCTGCATTATTGTTTGCATTCCCAAATTGGGGGGAACTGCATTGTTATTTATTAAATTCCCAAGTTGATGGGAAATGCAATATTAGCTGTTTCTCAATGCAGTTTTTATTATGACATGAGTTAATTCCTCCCCTCTTAAGAACAATTGTCATCAATTGCCCGTTTTTTTTTTTTTTTTTTTTTTTTTTTTTTGAATATGGGTCGTTGACCGAAAAGTGGATGGAGTTCTATTGGCTTAGATGAGTATGGGTGCATTGGAGAATTGTGTTTCCTGTGTGTTCGCACTGGCATTGTTCATTCTGGATGAGGTATTGGATACTTTTAGGATGATGAATCCAATGACAAATGCCAGGAGTATTAATAAAAAGAGTTGATGATCCATTTATAATTGTTCCTCCTTTTTTTGTCGTTCGTGTTTCATATGTGTTATATTTAGGTGGAGCTCATTCAAACTTTCTGTAGTTAATAGGTTTTCACGGGGTTTCTTTTCAGGCGCGGGTTGAAGTATAAAAGAAATGGTTCTTATTTTTGGAGCTTCTAGATTCCGGTACGTTCTACCATCTGTGGGGATTGAGAAATTTGTGAATGGAACGGGTCCACAATATTGAGTCTCACATTGTTTATTTCAATAGTATTATTCTAGTCGTTTAATAAAATGACTCCAGGATGCCCGTTTTTTCTATTGGTGGAATGTGTTGGCTGTTGGGGAATGCAGATATCGTACTTATGCCTATTATATTAATATTATTATTCCGTAAATGTCTTTATCATTATTATTATTTGTTTATTATTTTTATAATTTGTTTTATAATTTTTTTGTACCTGGTGGTGATTTGATCCGGATAAGCTCACCAGCTGTGGCTCAGCCACGCAATGCTGCCAAATCTTTTGGCTCGGTCATCCCACCCTCATTTGATTAAAGAACTATTGAAAATGTAGCAGGAAATGCTCCGGACGAATTGCAAAATTCTAAAATCGTACCTATAGTTTCTTAACTCTTAGCGCCTTCATGGAGTTTTGTTAAAGTAACAAAACTGTTCCTTCATAAAAATAATCAATCTAATTCTGCAAATACTATTAATGAGAAGTTTGTTTCTGCAGACATTAACAACGGAATCCATACACCTTCTGATTTTAATGAAAAGAATGTTCTGCAGACAATAATAACGGAATCTCTATGCCCTTGCTTACGGAACAAATTATTGTTGTAGTGCCGCGTAAAACTATAAAAAATGGGGGCCCTATTTTTCTAGGAAAATCATGAAAATAAAAATTCCCGTTAGAGCTTCAGAATTTGAGGGAAAGTTTTTTTTTTACAAAATAAATATCCCGAATATCTGGAGGTACCGCTATATGGGGGCTATACCAAAACGTGAACCCATACATCTCATTTTCAATATCAACCATACTACACATACAAATTGTTCTCCCAAATTTTGTGGGCTGTGTCGTGATTTCAACAGACAGACGGACATCGTAACATTGGCTTAGAAATATATTTATTATTTTTATTTATTTAAGAAAAAATATTTTTATTTAAAAAGTCAACGCTAGCACAGTGACTTCATTTTTATTATTTCGACATCTATGACCAACTTAAAACTACTGACAACATACTTAAAGTTAATCTAATTTTCTACCTGCGTTTGGTACCTTGCTGGGTGTCGGGTATCCGCAATATCAACCATACTACACATACAAACTGTTCTGCCCGATTTTGTGGGCTGTATCGTGATTTCAACAGATAGACGGACATCGTTAAATCGGCTTAGAAATGTATGCTGATCATGAATATAAATTAAGTCTTATATATTTATTTATTTATTAAAAAAAAAAAATTTATTTATTTAAAAACTAGCGCAGTGACTTTATTTTTATTATTTCGACATCAATGACCAACTTAAAACTACTGACAACATACTTAAAGTTAATCTAATTTTGTATCTGCGTTTGGTACCTTGCTAGGTGTCGGGTATCCGCAAATGTAGCGACGCCAGCGTCTGCATTATTGTTTGCATTCCCAAATTGGGGGGAACTGCATTGTTATTTATTAAATT